TGTGTACATTTTATAATGTTTATAAATTGGTACAATAGTTCACGTTTGTAATTTATAAGTAAATAAATGTATATATGTTGGAGGAACATGCTTAAATATTGAATGCTATATTCCAGATACATTCTGATTATCAGAGTGGTATTATTACTTCTCAGAATTTGCACACTGTGTTTATATAATGTAGGATCTTATTAGCATTTTAGCTCTCATTTTTCTCTTTTGCTTTTTATTAAATTCATAATCTGATATATCCAACTTCCCAGATCCGTTTACATAGTCTGAACTAACTAACCTATAAACAATTTATTTTTTTAACTAAAATGTAACATCTTCCATTTATCCCAATTAGGTTTTATTACACATTTTTAAAATGTTTTGAAACAATCTCATACTTATAGAAAAAATTTAAGTACAACACAAATAACATTTTTCCTGAACCATTTGAGAGTTAATTGCCAACCTGAAGCCCTTTCATCCTGTATATTTCCTACAAACAAAGATTTTCTCTTACATTAGCTACAAAACGACTATAAAAATCAGGAAATTAACATTGTTATTCCCATGTAATCCTCAGACCTCATTTAAATTTTGCCAGTTCTCCAAGTATGTCCTTTATTGTACCCATTCTAATTCAGAATTGTGTGTTTCATTTACTTGTCATGTCTCCTTAGTCTCTTTCAAATCTGAAAAGTTCCTGGTTCCTTCTTTGATTTACTTACCCTTGACACTTTTGAAGATTTTAGGCCAGTTATTTTCTAGAATGCTTCTCAGTTAGGGTTTGCCTCATGTTTACTTAGGATTAGATTCAGATTATGCATCTTCGGCTGGAATAACACAGAAACAGTGCTGCATTCTTATTGCATCCTATCTGGTGGCATATGATGTTGACTTGTCCCAATTTCTGATAATGTTAACTTTCATCATTTGATTAATATGGTGCTTATCAGGTGTTTCCACTGTATAGTTACTCTTTGTTTTGTGGGGAGATAACTTTGAGACTATCAATATCCCATTCCATACCAAACTTTTATTTACGTATTTACTTATATTAGTATGGACTCGGGGTTTCCTGTGTCATTCAGTGGGTATAATTTGTTACTTTCACTATTTATTTTGATGCTCACGTTGCCCCAGATTTGGCCAGTGAGAGCCCCTTCTTCAGGCTTCTGCATCTTTTTGACATGTTCCCTTCAATCTTTGAGCCCTTTCTTAACTTTCCATCCATAATTCATCCTCTTTGTTTCAACGACATTTCAGGTCACTTTGATTACTTTGAATCTTGATTATGGCACTATTCCCCCTAGATAGTAAGCATTTCTTCTATTTATTTATTCAAGTCATAGATAATAATCATCAATGAGCTGAGGCCAAAAAAAGGGCCCAGTTGTGCTGTTCCAGAAATTACCTTGCAGATCAGATATCCTCAAACACTTAATCAGGATTTTGTAGTATATTTTGAAGAATTATTTGATTGGTCTTGAAGTTAGTTGCTGCTGCCAAGTCGAAGTCACTATCAAACCAAAGACTCTACAAAGCTCTTGCCTAGATTCCAACCAGCTCCTTCCTGCAATAAAAGAATTTGTCAGCATTTGGTGCTGTTGTCCATGACTGACAGCACTGTCTCTATCCCCATCTGATCCCAGGGTTGACAGAAGTCATACCTTCAAGACACTCCCATTGCTGGTAGGATCTTTACTTCACACTTAGTGATACCAAGCTTTGGGGAGAGAAAGGGAAAACAAAATAAAACAAAAACTTAGTTCCCGGCACACTTTATACACTCAATAATATTGCTTAACAGAGCAAATTAATAAATACTGAAGATTAATCCAAATGAATTAATCCAAATTTTAAATGAGTCTAGCTGTTCAGTTAGCTGTCAGTGTACTATGGAAAAGTCTCCAAAGCCAAAAGTCTGGATTCCGGTGTGGAACCTCAAGACTCATGGCTGTGCAACATGAGAGAGCTATGAAATTACTCTGAGCATCAGTGTCTGTTGTTGCTGTTGCTGTTAGATGGAACTAATAAACGAACCCCCCGGCCGGCTCCACAGAGTTGTGGAAGCCAGAGAAGATCACGTAAATGAAATCTTTCTATATGGTATTAACTAGATTAAAGTGTGAGATTGTCAATCTTATCACCAGTCAATAGTGCTATTATACAGTTGATTTTCCGTTATTTTATGAGAAAAGAATCATGGGCAAATTTTGCAAATGCCCATTGGTTTTCCAAGTTATTTACCTAATACTGATCCTTTTTTAAAAAGAAAGTGAAGCTAACTTTTCAGGACTTTTCTTTTCTTTTTGACTGTACCTAATTTGTTCTTTTTGAAATGCCCACAAATCATCTACTTAAAAAACTAACCTCAAGTTTTTGCGGGATCACAATAAGCCTCACTATGTGGTTTATAAATCCTTCCTCTCTTTAATTAGGAAGTTAGAATAGATTCACTTCCCAAGACTGATGGCGTCTTTCCTCTGCTCCTTGATTTTTCGAGAAGTAGTGATATTAACTCTTACAGAGAATAGGGAGCATCAGGCTTAGGCCCTGTCGTTCAAGAACTAGTTTCCCCACCTGGTGGGGCAGGCTGGAGGAGTGGGGACATCTCTGTATCTCTATTCTCCCATCCATAAAATGGACATAAAGAATCCCGCATCTCACTGTTGTAATGAGGATTGAATGCCATAGTGCATGTGAAAGAGGGCCTACAAATTATAAAACTTTATATAAATATGTTAGTAACGCATGATTCAGAACCCTGGGATAAGGATCGTAAAGGCTATCGTTTATTGAATGGACTGTGCTGACCAGATTCTGTGCTCTCTTTTGATGCTCCAGCAACCCAATATATATCATTATCCCTATTTTACAGGTGTGGAAACTGAGGATCAGAGGGGTTAAGTACTGTCCAAAGTCACACAGCTAATAAGCAGAGGAGCAAATTCAAACCCAGGGCTGTCTGACCCTAAAACCAATACCCTTAACCCACGCCCCAAATTCTACCCCAAACTCCCTCCCATTTGGCCCCAGAAGCTTGAAATCATTTAATTAGGTGCTGCCCTGAAAATCTCTCTTCTGTAGGAGCTGCTGCCAAAACTTTCTGCTGTTGGTTCTAAATTTTCCAAAATGAAAACCATTCTACTCTCCGGAGAAGACAGAAACCGCATAGTTGATTAAAGGCTCTGAACTGTCTGATTGATCTGCCAGCCTTACACCATCTTCTGAAAGCCGCAGACCTCTTCTTTTGTACTCTTTTTTGTGTGCACATTTCCTGTATTTCACACTTTTCAAAAGCCTCAGTTCCTTTGCCTTTAGTTCTAGGTGAGAAAATGCCCAATTTAATTAGAAAGACTCGAATTGGTTAGCGGTTCCATACACTGAATCGATACTCCAGCCAAGTACATTTTCTGCGTAAGATAATTATTTAGTTAATAACACATGCCCATAAATCCTTCCCTAAATTCTTACCCATGTAGATATCTCTTTGTTAAAATTTCCTCAATGTTTGTATTGATTAGTGTTACCGATTTCTCCTGTCCTTCTACAAAATTAGTGGTTTCACAAGTAAAGGTTTTGGATCCTGAACCGGATCAAAAATTATCGAGGGCAATAACACCTTCCGAATTTGGTGCTAAATAATGCTTATGAAATGCTTATTTCTTTGGGGGCTTATTATGTTTTAAATTACCACCACTGTGATAATTGTGAAACTCTGACAGCTAAATGATCAGCAGAGTAGACAGGGCCCATCTGGATGCTGCTTGGCATTAGTGACCAGATATCTCGACAGCTACTAAAAACCATCAACACGTTACTGCGATGGATGCCTCAAAAGAGCTCACAGTTGCATTATGCTATCATTTGAACATTTAAAAATAAATTGAACTATTCACCCAAGGCACCTATAACACATTGGCCTTTCGGGTTAAATCAATTTGAAAAAAGTTTTGTATTTGACCTCGATATTACTCTTTGTAATTTGATTCCAAGAATATTTTCACATTTACCCTAACACTCTCTGCAACTTTCAGTTTCTCAGATTTCTATATTTTCTATTAAAAAGTCTTTTCGAACTTATATAATAAGTATAGAATCAAGTGCTTTTAAAATGTCATGAACTAATAGGCACATTTTGACCCAACTGAAAATTCACACTCTTGTGTGATAATAACCATTCTCTGGAAAAAAGCCCTTGGGAAAAGAACAGTGAGAGAAATTAACATTGACTCAATTTTAGTGTATAGAAAGTGTTAGGGTACCATGTTTTCTTAGACTATATTGTAAGTGAATGTCAGTTTTTTAAAAAGGAAACGCTGTGGGAAACATATGAAAGGATTCATTTCCTGCTATTCTGGGGAAAATGTAATCCTTTCTCAGCAGCAGCTAAAACATTTACTCTAAAATGGTTTTTCAACCATAATGTATTTGAGTCAGAAACATTCTCTTTCTCTTTACAGAGATCTAACAGGTTGGAGACTAATTATAAAATATTTTTGACAAACAGATTTTTGTATAATTTCTGCGTGTATTTTAGTACTTCAGAATTAGCTTGACATAAATGATCTCAGGAAATGATTTAGGAGCTAATGCGAGGTCCCTAGACTAAAAACAATAAAAATAATAATGACACTTTGAAATTTATATATCCTTTCTCTTATGTTAGTTTCCTAAGTCATATAACTAATTTTAGTTATAATTAATTTTAATCTTTTAAGATTAAAGTTTACTCAAATTAATTCCGTTACAAGAACTTTAAAAACACTTTGAGATAAATGATGAAATCTTAGTTTCAAAAGTCCTGATTTAGAGTTAAATGTATTTCGAAGGTTGGATATGAAGCTAATTAGGGAAAGACTTTTGAGTCAATAGTAGAAATGCTAAATTGGTCATATTTTATTTGGGTAAAGTTTCTCTTCATAGAAACATTATTTAAGAATCATTGTTTCATGTAGAATATCTTTGTTATCCTGCACTGACAACATTTTTACTCTTTCATCAAGGTATCAGATACACACCGGACTTCAGCATTCTATCATAAGACCCACCCAACCCAACTGCTTACCTCTGGACAATGCAACTCTACCTCAGAAGCTGAAGGAGGTTGGATATTCAACACACATGGTTGGAAAATGGCACTTGGGTTTTTACAGGAAAGAATGCATGCCCACCAAGAGAGGATTTGATACCTTTTTTGGTTCCCTCTTGGGAAGTGGTGATTACTATACACACTACAAATGTGACAGTCCCGGGATGTGTGGCTATGACTTGTATGAAAATGACAATGCTGCCTGGGACTATGACAATGGCATTTACTCCACACAGATGTACACTCAGAGAGTACAGCAAATCTTAGCTTCCCATGACCCCAGAAAGCCTATATTTTTATATATTGCCTACCAAGCTGTTCACTCACCGCTGCAAGCCCCTAGCAGGTATTTTGAACACTACAGATCCATCGTCAACATAAACAGGCGGAGGTATGCTGCCATGCTTTCCTGCTTAGATGAAGCAATCAACAATGTGACCCTGGCTCTAAAGACATATGGTTTCTACAACAACAGCATTATCATCTACTCTTCAGATAATGGCGGTCAACCCACTGCAGGAGGAAGTAACTGGCCTCTCAGAGGCAGCAAAGGAACATACTGGGAAGGGGGGATCCGGGCTGTTGGCTTCGTGCATAGCCCACTTCTGAAAAACAAGGGAACGGTGTGTAAGGAGCTTGTGCACATCACTGACTGGTACCCTACTCTGATTTCACTGGCCGAAGGACAGATTGATGAGGACATTCAACTGGATGGCTATGATATCTGGGAGACCATAAGCGAAGGCCTTCGTTCTCCCCGGGTGGATATTTTGCACAACATTGACCCCATTTATACCAAGGCGAAAAATGGCTCTTTGGCGGCAGGCTATGGGATCTGGAACACTGCGATCCAGTCAGCCATCAGGGTGCAGCACTGGAAACTGCTTACAGGAAACCCTGGGTACAGTGACTGGGTTCCCCCTCAGTCTTTCAGCAACCTGGGGCCAAATCGGTGGCACAACGAACGGATTACCTTGTCCACTGGCAAAAGTGTATGGCTTTTCAACATCACAGCTGACCCATATGAGAGAGTGGATCTATCTAACCGATATCCTGGAATCGTGAAGAAGCTCCTGCGGAGGCTCTCACAGTACAACAAAACTGCAGTGCCCGTCAGGTACCCCCCCAAAGACCCCAGAAGTAACCCTCGGCTCAATGGAGGAGTTTGGGGACCATGGTATAAAGAGGAAAACAAGAAGAAGAAACCAAGCAAAAAGAAGGCTGAGAAAAAGCAGAAGAAAAGTAAGACAAAGAAGAAAAAGCAGAAAACAGGCTTCTTTCTAAATTGCCCTTCAGGTGTTACTCGAGGATAAGTACCAATTTTTGACTGTCTGGGTAAACTTATGTCAATTCGTTCACCTGTTTTCTAGGGAAACAAGCAAATTAGGCTCCATAATATCACTGCCATAAGCATCAGACTTTTCATGCTGTGCCACTCCAGAGACTTCTGCCACGTGGTTGCCACATGGAAAACCGTTCTTGGTGCCAAAGGTGCTACTCTTGTGAGCCACACTTGTGAGGAGAATGGAGATGCTTATTTCTCTTGCTCCTTTATAGAAGGTGGTCAGGAATGAGTTCAACTGCTGTGCCTCAGTCCGTTGACCAAGCACTAGGCTTTAAATCATTACAAGGGACAATAACCTGCAATCGATGAACATGCTAATTGGATGGGTATTTACAGGGTAGTGTGATTAAAAACTACCTTTGATAAAATATAAAGACTGCCTCACCTCGAAGGCCTTGAAAAATACATTTTCTTAGTGAATTTTTGTATCTCTATCATATGACACTTGAGTTTTTAAATTAACTCTATTTCATGTATCATTTCCTTTCCTGTGAAAATAAGCTGTTTTTCTCACGTGTGAGCAGCTTGCACCTCATTTGATCATGCATGAGAGAATGGCAGATAAGAATGTTCGAGCACCATGCCAAAACATGAATGTAACGATTTTCTAAACACTTTAATAGAAAGACATTTCAGCATAAAGTATGTAATTTATTTTTACAGAAAAAATATTAATTATTTTGTTTTCATAAAAGTTATGCAAATGATTTTTAATTATTTTATTTTTATTTTCTACATACCATTAGAAGAATTTTATTTCATATCTTCAAGATTAACAAGCACTGTAATACTATGTTACTGTAATACTGTGTGAATTATAGACTATAAAACGAAAATCATTCAGAAAAAAGGGTAATCATTATTGTTTGACCATTATTTTGAATGTAATAAGATGAATATATTCCTTACAAATTACTTGGAAATTCAGTGTTTGTACAGAATTGAGAGACAACTTTATTGTTTCTATCATAAACACTTTATTTATGTATCTTAATTATTAAAATGACTTATTTTATGGCACTAGCAAATTTAGTGTGGCTTTTCTGATCTAACTTCTAGATAAAATTGTATTATTCATCTTAACAAACAAAACTCTTCACAAATAGGCAACTGAAGGTATGATTTGCTAACAACCATAGTAATATAACATGGAGTTTGCAAATAAGAGATGTTTCCACTTAGCTATTACATGGAGAAAGATGTTCTCTTGTTAATAAATAACATTTCTAATGATCCTACTCTTTAACAAAGTGGACATGGTGGGGAGATACAGAGAGAAGAAGATATGGATCCCACTTGGGGCAGTTAAAAGTCCAGTCTGGAACTCACACATGCAAACATGGTGAGGAGGATTAAAAGAGTGAGATTTGTAATGACAGGTGTCATGGGTCATCAAGGAGGATAGATGGATGTGGTTCGCGCCGCCCTGGCGTTTTCTTTAAAGTGCCCTCTCCTAACTCAGAGGCCTCTAAGCTCATAGTTTACCCTTGAAAACTCACAGAGACCAGGAGCTGTGGCATGTGAAGTGACACCTGTGATAACAAAATGTGTGTGGCAGCATTCTGTTAGATACGTTTGTATCAGAATTCGCAGGACTGCCTCTCACAGTTTATAGAAATCTATACAAGAATCTATAGACCATACTGAAATTACTAACATGGACAAAATGATAAAAAATTGTAATTTTAACATTTCACTTCTAGACTATATCTTTCCATTCATTATATAGGATAAAGTACTGCATCTTGAGTTTGTGTTTTGTTGACTGTATATTTAAATAGCCTTAAAAATCAAAGGCTTATTGTCAGTGTTGTTTTTCCTTTCTTAGTGGCACATAGAATAATGATGTGGCTACAATAGATGGTATCTTATAATTCAAAAAATAGAGTTACCATTACATTACAAAAGAGTTCTGAGGAAAAATAAGTTTGGGAAATGTGGAATTAAAGGGGTCACTCTAACGCAGACTTTCTTAGAGTTTTGAAAATCCTAGTTTGCCTTGTAAGTCTCTAACAGAAGGAAATTTTTAGATGGTATTTTCCAGTTTATTTCATCATGAAACCCTTCTTTATAGCTCATTGCACAGGACTAGGGTTCTGTGGAAGTGACTTTGAAAATTGCTGGTGTAAATGTAGAATCTTCTAGAAGTCTCAGCAAGACAAAAAAGGAGCAAAGAGGCAAATTAGGATTATGAAAATTAACTCACATTTGAACACAGTAGGCATTATGTAATATGCTGTGATTTTTAAATTCTCTATAAATGACCATAGCTTTCTCGATGAAAATAAATTAGCCCACAGCCTTTACCTGGAAGTGGCTTCACGGATGTTGTTCACTGTTTCAAAAAGAATACCTGCCACCTGCACATGATGCTGGGTAGACTGCGATTTGAGAGAGGTGTGTGTCTTGCCCTTGTGAAACTGAGATCTAACTCAGTAGTCATGTATAAATAACGAACAAGAATGTTTCCAAAATGCTGTCAGCAAATGACTAGGTTTTTCAAGATGTCCAGGAAGGAAAATACTGTGCACTCGACGTTTACGCCCTGATCATTAAAACTATGTGAATATTGGGCATTTATCCTCAGGTGTCATTCTCCTAAACTGTGATTCTCAGGCTGCATTTCTAGAGCTGTCTGTGGCTCTTTCCAGTGTAAAATGCACCTCTTTTAAAACCTCTGATCCTTTTGTTATGGTAACAAAGGAAACTTCTGGATTGAAAAATAAGTATCCCATTTGCTTTGTCAGAAAATAACTTGTGGATAGGACTATGTGTCTTGGAAGAGAAAGGATATAAAACATTTTATTCAAATAAAAAACAAACCAACAAAACTTTGCAGTGCCTTTCGGTGGCCGAAAACAGGCACCCAGGTCTGTCAGACCTGTCTAAACGACTTGTTTCATCTGTACTTACACACTCTTTCATTGCTTCTTTAAAAATTGAGTAAATGTTACAGTTCTCTTGACCAGGTCTCTTTAAAAATTTTTAAGAATAGAGGAGAAACTGTGCCATTGATAGTCGATAAAGTATACAGTTAGTACATTTCAATATTTGATATTTCAAGATACATGAATTTGGCATCAGGAATAACTTCCTAAGCATTTTATTCATGGGAGAATTGAGCACACAAATTGTGAATTTGTCAGTAGCAATCAGAAAGTGTGTTGTTGGCAGGAATAAGCTGGCTTGTCAAAAGTAGCAAATAAAATTCCTATGTTATAAATTAATAACTTCATTGTTCCCTCTTAGGGAAAATTACTTATTAAAATTCATTAATTCATTCAACAAATAATTATTAAATCCTAGTACTTGTCAGGCCATGTTCCAGATGCTTGGGATGCATCAATGAACAAAATAGATAAAAATTCTTACCCATGTGCAGGTTGTGTGCTAGCTGAGTTAGGCAGACAGTAAATAGTCAACGTAACTAATTAGTGCATTATATACACTATAAAATAGCATGAGGGAGAAAGAGTAGATCAGGGTAAGAGGAGGACTCATTCAAGGCCAAGTGTATCCATCCACTCATTCAACGTTTATTAAGTGCCACATGTAATGACACACGCTGGATATGGTGACAGGTAACATGGAACAGGGTCCTGCCTTCAGGTCGTGTACATCCCCTGGGGGACACAGCCACAAATCAATAACCAAACACCCTCCTCTCCCCCACCTTTCTTTCCTCCTTGATCTTTCTCCACAGCACTATATTTCATATTTCATTTACACACTTTCTTGATTCTGTCGCCAGAGGATAGGCTTCTTCAGAAAAGTGATTCATGTCTGCTGTTTACATCTGCATTGCCAGGATATACAACAACGCCTGGCTCATAGTCAACCCTTGATATATATTGGTTGAATGAATAAATAAAATAATAACATAAAATAAAATATCCATATATTCAGATATTTGCCGGATTTCCATTTTCCATATCTTACATAAGATTTCACAGTTGAAAATAGAATTAATCATCCTTAGTAACTTTCTTCATAATAATAGGAATGATGTGAAATGCAGACATTTCTAACACTATAAAAAATGTCTAATAATTTATAGTTATAGGAACAGAATGTTATAGCAAAAGCCAAGTAAAAATCACACAAAATTAAGAGCAAATTTTATCTATACAAACTTTATTGCCCAACAGGGTAGAACACGATTATTCTAACACTGCTTTGAATACTACAGAATACATTCACTTAAATGAGAGTTTCCAGAAAGGAGAGATGGAGGCTTAAATTGTGAATAATTCTTTGTAGCAAGTTGTGAAAGGGAAAAATATAAATAGCAAATAAACCTCTGTCTTCATAGAATTATGAAGCCACATGGACTGCACCTCACATGCTTGGGTATTTTATTACAAAGCTCTCCCACTTGGCAGGCAGGAATTCTGCTTCTTTAAAGATACGACTTTCTTAAGCATTTTATTGGTTGTAGCATCTCCGTGAAGTCCATTGATTTGTCAGCTCTGGCATTATTAAACACAGGACAGCAGAATGTGGTCCTTGGGGGTTAGGCAGACAAACATATTTACCTGAGGTTCCATTTCACATCTATGATTTGAAATTTCCTTCCTCTCAAATTTGCTACAATCCCATAATATTCTTGGTCAACTGATTTATGCTATTTTGTGTAAAATCAATCCCAACAATTGAAAATGAGCAAGAGAATAGGCTCATTGGAAATGTTGAAATATTCACTCTTGGCAAAAACTCTGTAGCTGATCATTATAAAAGAGGAACATCTTATGTCATGAATCAAAGTAAAATTTGTCCTTCAGAATAAAAATCCAAAAACAATTTTCAATATGACATATTAATCTCTCTAGAAACAATACTTTAAGAATTAACGTTCCTTCAGCCTTGAGAGCTATGAATGACCGCCGAATACTTTCACTTGAATTTGTAAATCCTAAACAACTATGAGAAAAAAGTTTTCTATGACCAAGGTTAAAAAAACCCCCACAAAACCTTGATTTTATTTAGTATCTGAAACTGTATTTTCTCCTGTCCTCATCACCAGAACATCCAGAGACTCCTTTTCAGCACAAGTAACAGCACAGCTCATCAGTCATGGAGACTCATTCTGTCTCAAATCCATGTCCTGCTAACATTTCTCTATTTTTAGCTTTTCTTGACTGACATAATCAATCCCCTCTAGCACCTGGGAGGGAGGGAATTACAAGCATTTACCATCTACTTAATTTCTACTATGCATTCAGACTTAGTAGCAACAAGACATGGGAGTTCAGAGTGGGTCACCTCAAAACATGTCACCTTGGCATATTGATTATCTTTAGTTAAAGACACTTGAGAAGCAACAGGTGCAAGAAGGGCACTCTGACCTTCCTTTGTCTTCCTGAAAGCAGGACATAAACCTCCCGTGTGAAAGGTGCCCTCCTTGTGCCAGGAGGAAGGAAGACATTCCTATCACCAGAGAAGGGGAGTCGAGGCTGAGAGAATCCGTACAAACTTGTTAACTAACCCTCATCTTTCTAGTCTCTTTTCCACAATTCACTGCCCTTGCCCAAACCTCTTTGTCTTGTCACGTTCTCAGAATTTACTACCCTTTGTCCAACCTCACACATAAGCGTTCAGCTCTAACTGCTTCTTTGTGTTTACATTTTCCTGTGAAGGCGGCCACGTACATGTAAAATTAAAATATACAGGCTTTTTATTACACTTGTTTTTCTTTTCTTCAGGTTTTGCTTAAAGCCCTAAGAGTTAATTTAGCATTTCAAAGGTTGCAGTCATAGCTGCCAGGGTAAGCTATTACCTCCCAGCTGGAGAGGTGGCTGCGGAGACAGTCAGACCAGGTGAGGGGATGAGTGGAGGTTTCCCCCTTATTTTCGGCTGTGGCTCCATGCCTGCGCTCTTCTCAGCATCTGGGCTGTGGCCGGGCTGTTTCTTTCTGTCCTCTCACCCACAGCCATGGCTCCACATTTTACCTTCTGGGCACCTTTATCATCCATTTCTGAGTCTCACACCCCTCCCTCCACTGAACTAGGCACATAGATACCTGTGTCCCCCAGATTATTAACATCTGAATCCCTCCCGTCCTGAAGTCCCAGGCATGAAGGGACAGGTGTGTAGAGCCACCCCAGTCCCTGGAAACAAGAAGCCCTGAGCCCCACCCCTAAACCTTAAGGCAGCCGAGATCAGGGTGGAAGGGGAGTGAGGGACCTGGGGAAGCAGATGAAGTGTGTCCACAGGAATAAGTGAGTGTCATCTCCCTTCAGGTTCAAGGCCCTTAGCGGCTGCAGTGCCCAAAGCCTGCCTTCAGCTTGGGGAACCAATTAATGCTTCCTCCTGTCCGGAGGAGAGGGCAAGGAGCAAAGTCACTTCTACTGTTTTGGCCTACCCAAAGCCCACCTTTGGGAACTCCTGCTCTTTCTCATCTAGCACAGAGGGGAGAGCAACAGCGACGTCACATTCTCTACCCACCCACAGCCTAATTTGGGGACTTCCTGGACCCTTTCCTCCCGGGCCTGGACAAGAAAGCAAAAACCAAAAGCACCATTTGGGCTGCTTGTTCCAATCCTACTCTGTGTCCTCAGCCAACAGATGTCTTCCAGTCCTTTCCACACATCAGCTACTGGTCTCTGTTGACTTCTCTCAAATCCTGTGAGTCAGCCTATGGGGTTCTCCCCTGTCTCTTCCAGCAAACCTTGTTTCAAACAGGATCTCATCCTTGTCAACAAAATTAATACATTTTTACTTTGTGTATTTCTTCATTGTTATCCTGAAAGCAGCCAGGAAGTGGCTGGAGCAGAGATCAGCATCATTAATGTTACTTACTAAGTGACTTCACCAATTTCCCAGAGGTGACACAATGAGAGCCACATGTTTAGGACTGCATGCCTAGGAGTGTCTCACAGGAGGGGAACCCTGAAATTATGAATCTGGGGTTTTATATAGAAACAGGATAGCTCCTTTTCCCTCCTCCATTCCTGAGAGAGAAAGAAATCTTTGCTCCCTAGTGTTTTACATCCTTCATAAATGAATGTAAATGAATTCTCTCAGGAAGACAGACGGGAAGTGTGTACCCCAAGTGCAGAGCATTTGGCTCTGAAAGATGCAAGTTTCAACACCCTTTGAGTGCAGGTCGTTCCAGGTCTAACAGCTTTTAACTTCCGATGCTTGTGGCTTAACATAGGTGTCAGTAACGTTTTCTTAGAAAGCCCTAACTGTGTAGAACCATGAAAATATTCACTTCCTGACACAGATCAGTGGCTGCCTGTGGCTAGGGGTTGGAGTGGGTATTGACAACAAACAGGTATGAGGGACACTTCAGGAGTGAAGTATTTTAAAACTGAATGTGGGGATGATTTTACAACTGCATAATGTACTACAACTCAGTGAACTGTATACTTGCCATGAAAAAATTCTGTGGTACGTAAATTATGCCTGAACAAAGCTATTAAATGCAAGCCACAGATTGAGAGAATTATTTATAATAACTAGAACTTAACAAAAGATCAGTTTCCAGAATATATCATGATCTCCTACAAATCAAAAGAAAAAAACAGAACGGTCCCTCACAAAAGATGACACCGAAATTGCCAAAAAATATATGAAAATGTGCTCAAAGTCATTAGGCATTCAGGAAACACAAATTAAATTCATAATGCTGTAGCACTACAGACCCACTGGAAGGCTAAAATGAAAAAGAGAAAACCACGTGTTGGTGAGTAGGAGGAACGTCGGGGTAAGAGTGTTGCTGAGGTGTAAATTGGTGTGACTGTGTTAGAAAACTGTGTGGTTGTATCAATGAAAATTGAACATACACATCCCCATGACCCAGGTGTTTCACTCCCAGGTACGTACCGAAGAGAAACATTTATAGCTCTTCACCAAAAGTCACACAAAGGAATAGTCATAGTAGCACTCTTTACAGCACCCCAAATATCTACCAGTGGTAGAATGCATAACTAAATTGTGGTATACACACTCATAAAAAGGAAAACACTCTGTTCTTCCACTCTACTCTCCCCAATACTTCTGACATCAGATGTGTAGGGTTTTCCACACCAAGCAACACTCCAATTCTTGATGGACGCCACCTGGGCATTCTACGTTTTAACTCAGTTCTGACGCAAACTGCCTGGAGTTAGCACAGATCCCACAGGTGAAGGGCTTAGTTCGACAAGACTGCCCCACCCCCGACTTCTGACGCCAATCACAAGTCCAGGCCTCCCGTAGTACCTCTGGCCAACAAGCTGTAAATCGAGGATTCCCATAACTCCCTCTTCAGGTTCAATAATTTGCTAGAAGGGCTCATAGAACTCAGAAAAACAGTTTACTTATTAGATTAATGGTTTATTATAAAAGGATACAACTCAGGAATAGCCAAATGGAAAAGATGCAAAGGGCAAGGTGTGAGGAAGGGACACAAAGCTTGCATGCCCTCTCCTGCTAGCCACACCAGCCAGCACCTCCTTGTGTTCAGCAGCCCATAAGCTCTCTGAATCCCTTAGGGCTTTTTATGGAGGCTTCATTTCATAAACATGATCGGTGAAATCATGGGCCACTGATGATTAACTCAAACTCCAGCCCCTCTCCCCTCCTCAAGGTCAGGAGGTGGGGCTGAAAGTTCCTCTAATCACATGGTTGGTTCCCCTGGCAACCAGCCCCCATCCTTAGGGGCCTTCCAAAAGTCACCTCATTAACATAAATTTAGATGTGGTGGAAAGGGATTTGCTGTGAATGAGAAAAGACACTCTTTCACCTTTATCACTCCAGAGCTATTTCAAGAGGCAGGAACTAAAACCAGATATTACAACAAAAGATATCCTGAAAGCATAAGGCTCTTATCACTTAGGAAATTACAAGGGTTTGAGAAGTTCTGGCCAGAAGCTGGTAGGAAAACCAAAATATGTATTTCTTATCAAAACACAATATCACATTCATATAATGGAGTGTTATCCCGTACAGGGAGAAGTGTTGGGAGATTCCTGGAAGGGGTACAGGTGGGTCTTCTGCAGTTTGGTTAATATTTTATCTCGGTGCTGCTGATGGGAGTATGTTCACTTTTTAAAAATTCATTGAGCTACCCACCTAAGGTTTGTCTACTTTTATGCATTTTGTTATACTTCTCACCAACCCCACCACCACCAGAGTCTACCATATATATAATAGGCAAGTCTACTGTGTGCTTACCCGGGGACACAGTAATTTCACTCCCAGATATTTACCCAAATCTAGTGATAAAACTAATAGGTACCTAAGCAGAGTGTGAAAATAAATGAAGGAAATCTCATTCAACATGGAGTCAGGAAGCCCTGAAGGGGGAGCTCTCAGCAGGTGCCTTCTGTCTCAGCTTCCTTTACATTCCAGGGCAGGAGGAATCTTACTTTACCTGCCTGGGCAGGAGGAAGGAAGACCCCCTTGCCCAGCAACAACCCAGCCAATGAGAAGCCACCGCTACTCAGCCAATGAGAAGTCATCACAACCTGAAACTCTTGCTCTCCTCCTCCAATGGACTTTTGTTCAAAACAGCCCCTCCCAACTTCTTTTCCTCTGTAAAAGCAAGCCCTTCTCCTCTGTTCTCTGGACTAGCCTATGGTATTCCACAGTTTGCATTTCCCAAATTGCAATTCCTCAGTCATTCCCAATAAACTCACTTTTTTCTTAAATAAAATTGCTCTTGCTCTGTTTAAGGTTGACAAGAGTGTCTTGCACATTGTAGTTTTCAATTAAAGTTGAACACGGAAAAAAATGGCCTAATATACTCACCTAATATTTTAATCATTTTTTTTGGCATGTTAACCTCCATGTGGAAGTTAGTGCGACCTAAATAAGCATTGCCCCATTACACGTTATAGATGA